GGGGTGGCACTCATCGGTCTGTCGGTTTGTCTGTCTGTCTGTGTGTGTAGGCGTATTTGGCCGATGTGCGTGTGATTGCGTTGTGGAAGATGGTCGGCAGGCACGTCAACTTCGGCGGCAGCTACGGCCGTTTTGAGCTGTTCGACCAGCCGGGAGGCGGTGTGCGTGCCCTCCACGACGAGCCGGGCTTCGAGCTGGACATCAACCCGCCCCTCCCCCCCGCCCACCCATACCACACACACACCATCACCGACAGCCCGCCCGTCAGATCCAGAATCCGCCACCAGGGGGGCGGCTGGGCGGCCGGGGGTCAGGAGAGCACTGATGCCTCGGCGTCGGCGTTCATCATGAGAATCATCCTGATGAACGCCGAGGCGATTTGGGGCAGAACTCCATGGGTTCGAGTGGACCGGTACGCAGGACACGCCACACTCAGACACACATCCATCCATCACGGCCTCTTCTCTGTGTCATGTGTTGGTCTCCTCAGGCATGCCCACGGCGGTGTGCTGGACGGCCTCCTCAACCAGTCGCCCCACCAGCCGCCCAACGGATGCACCGCCGTCATGGCGGGCAGGTTGGACGAAGTGGATCCCGCTGTAGAGATTCGGCAGCTGCTGCTGACGCCGTTCGACAGCCCATTCGTCGCATTGCTCGTTCTCCTCACCCGTGCCAACATTAACACAGGTGAGGGATAAGATGAAAGATCCTCTGCTGATTGAGCCGTCCTTTGACGTGTGCTGTGTCGCTGGATGCAGTGGGTGTGGATGTCATCACCACCGAGCCGCCAGTGGGTGATGCATCGGCTGCCTTCAAGGACCGCCGGCCGGCCACCGCCCCTCTGGTGGGCGGCCCGCTGGTGGACGCCATAGCAAACATGGTGGTCAACCAGAAAGAGGCAACTAGGCAATAAAGGTGGGTGAGAGTCGAAGTGAAATGGGTGCTCCATCTATCTCTCTGTGTTGGATGTGTATGTGTGTTGTGGTGTGTGTAGGTGGGCGAGGCGATGTGACGCGACGCCTGGTGGGGAGGGACTGTTGAATGGGGGAGGATATGAACGACACGGGCGTGAGTCTAGTCTGGGCATACATGTGTCACATATGCCCATGTATGTGTCTCAGTTGATTGGCCTGTGAGTCCATGGTGGCTGGCATGGCGTGTGGTGTGAGGGCGAGAGGGGGACTGTAGCTGGTGCACACAGACATGGATTGACACATGTCGGTCGATGGACGACTCTTCATGTCTGTGTACAGATCAACCGCATATTGCGTGCAGGTATGTTCGGCACACAGCACTGCCTACGCATCGAATCAATGCGGCGACGGCCGGTTGTTCGACAGACAGAATCGGTTCTGAACACAGCTTTCTTTCATTGACC